GCATGATCACTTCCTCCCAAGGTTCCTGTGGCTTCAACACCTTCTATCATTTCATCTCTGTTAGTGAGAATTAGATCCAAAATGGCTAATCCCCTAGTTCCCTTCTCTACTTTTTGGGAGACAAAATTGTCTGCTAGGTTTGCAAGGAATCTGTTTGATCTTCCACTTGGTGCAGAGTTTGTCTCCCAGTTGATGTCAGAGTAGTTAAAGTCCCCCATTACTATTGTGATATGCTTCCTACATACCTTAGTTAGCTGACTAGCAAAAAGTTTGTCTATTTCCTCTGTTTGGTTGGGTGGCCTGTAGTATAAACCTATGATAATGTCGTTTTTTCCCCCTTTTATATTGACCCATATGCATTCAAGACAGTTTTCATTATTGTTGTGTTCTATTTCTGTAGAGATGTAATTATTTCTTACATATAGAGCAACTCCACCTCCTCTTTTATTTGGTCTGTTTCTTTTAAATAATTTAAATACCTCTAGCTGTGTGTTCCATTTGTGGGTTTCATCCCACCATGTTTCCGTAATGGCAACAATATCATATTTAACAAACCTCTTTTGTAAATCCAATATAGGAAAGTTATCCAGGCATTGCTTTCATTTGTTAGGTGTATTTATTTATTTAATTATTAATCACTAGATAGTTTCTTCTATGTGTCTAGTATAACATATTTTTCCATATCATTCTTGTAGTCTGTCATTTTAAGTCCACTTTCAGAGCAGTATCTGATAAAACTTGTTCCTCTTCCGTAAATGCAGAGGTTAACACTTTTAAAATTAACTTCTGGATCTGTTGTTCAAAGATATCCTCAAACATGTCCAGTGTTACGATATTTTGCTCCTTTCTGTATTAATAAGTCAAATTTAAGTGTTTTTTCCCTTTAATTGTAATCTTTAGTTTCTTCCTGTTCCCTCTAAGGTCTAACCTTCTAAGTCTCATCCTGTTATTTTTTAAAAAAAGAATTCAAACAAAAGCATTTTCCCACTGGAAGGATTCTTATAATTAATCCCAAAATTTTATTTCAAATCCATCTTGACCCTTAGTTCATTAGTAACTTTTTAAAATCAAAGATCCAATTGCCCTTTTGCTGTTTATTTCAATTTTTTAAAAAATCCTTAAATTTATGTTTAAAGCTTCTTTCATTAGGAAGGAAATTCACCCAGTGCAATAAAATATGTACATCAAAAGGTTCCTAATAGCTGAAAGGCAATTAACAAGCACTTTCCGAAAGTGATTAAAAAACAAAATATTTAGTTTTATATAGTTGAAAAAAAAAAAAACAAGTAGAGGTAATGTATATGTATTCCTTTATTTGTCCACATGTATTTATTTAGTAAATTTTTATGCCGCTGATTTCTCCTATAAGGTAACTAGGCAGCTTACATGTTATAAACCAAGAAGAAAAATAATTAAAATATTAAAACATTAAAACTATACAAGTTAAGATTTTAAAACTATACTGTTTAAAACTATATTGTTATTATATATGTGTGCTGTTTTTAACTTGTTATTTGGGAATTACCACATGAAACTACTAGCTTCCTAATGATTTTGGTATCCACTTAAGTGAACTTAACAGGCCCAAACCATTTAAAAAAGATTTTTTTTTCTCTTTAGATAACAGTTGCTGATCTTCCAGGATTAATAGAAGGTGCCCACGCAAATAAAGGAAGAGGCCATAAATTTTTGAAACATGTGGAAAGAACTAAACAACTTCTCTTTGTTGTAAGAATACATTCTTTGTTAGCATTTTCATGCTTAATTTGGCCAACATATGAATTGTGTGTTTGTGTATAAATTTGTATATAAGCCAACGCATGGATAAATAGATCCTCAGATTTTAAACAAAGTACCATAAAAAATGCAGACCAGCTTATTCATAAGTGGCATATTTTTATGGTATTTGGGTTAAAAAATTGAGGGTCAGCTTATATGCAGAGTATAAAAGATGGTTCATGTTAATCAGTTAACTATTATTAAACCATAATTTGTTGAGTTAATGCAATATCTTAGCCAAAACCAAAACTCCCATAATTTTGGCGAACCATAATATTTGACTGCAGACTAGAAGCAGTTCCCAGGATGAAGTACTGAAATGTTTTCATGAATATAAAACACTGAATGTATATTTCCAAATATGAATTCTTTAATATTTATGGCAGTTCACTTTTGAAATTAAAGCTTGGAGTCTCCTAGATTGTCCATCAAAATGCTACTGAGCAATCAGTTTACACAGCAAAGGAATAATTTGTAGTGAAATTTTTGGGTAACTTAGTGGAGGAGGCCACTTGTGGTACAATTTCCATTAGATCCAGAATAGGATAATAACCAATTATGTAAAGTTTCTATAAAAAGATATATGCAGGTATAATGGAACATAGAAAAATATCTAAATTATTTAATGTTTTCAGTAATTTAGAAATCATTTAGAAACATTAAAGTACTATTTTCCAAAACTGCTTTGTATATAAATAAATAACCACCATATTAACTCTTTTCACCTTCACCACGTGAGTGAAAATATTTATTTTTTTAAATTTAGGTTGATGTGTCTGGGTTCCAACTTTCTTCTCATAAACCATTCAGGACGGCATTTGAAACTATAATGTTACTAGCAAAGGTAAAATTGCTGTCCCTTTTATGTTGTAACATTAAACTATATATAGTTTCATGATGAAATATTTATTTGCATAATAAGTCTCTTTAAATTATAATATTATTATAATATTATAATATTATATGTCTGGAAGTTTCTCCTTGATATTTCTAGGGATGGGTGATAATAAAGATGTTGAACCAATTTGTCCCTGGAAGGGGTCTGTTTACCTCAAAGCAGTTTAACATGTTTTATAGATAAGAATATTGTTTTCTGTTGGCAGTAGATTTCAGATCTGGCCTCTAAGTCAGAGAGTGTAACAATTGTCTAGCCAGATTTCAAAAATATACCACCACTATATTCACATTTAGTTGTATCTGAATCTTGGCGACTTTATAGGCAAGTGCTTACCCTGTATACACCTAGAAGTATGAACAGAAGACTTTTTTTTAATGTTTTATTTAAGAGTGCCTTTCATTGCCAGTATAAAACTAAAGATTTCTACTCATGGGGTGAACTAGAATATATAGTTATACAACTGCCTTAACATTATATTGTACCATGTTTATGTTAAGTAATACTGAACTGCTTAGTAGTCAAATATTTTCAAAAAAGTGTATGCAAATTATATTTGAAGGAGCTGGAACTGTATAAAGAGGAACTTCAAGTTAAATCTGCGTTGCTTGCTGTGAATAAAATGGATTTGCCTAACGCCAAAGAAAATTTTGAAAAGTTAATGGAACAACTACAGAAACCTCAAAGTAAGATTCATTTTGACCAGTTCCTTTTAAAATAAAGAATATGTATATCTTTTGGATATAAAATATCAACAAGGATTGATAATTGTGGGAATTGTGGCTTAACTTATAAATCAAAAATTCATAGCAAGATTTCTAGTGCTTAAATAATAATTGTGGTTCAAGAAAATAAAATACCAAAAATATTTCTATCTGCATAATAATGAATAGACAAGGCCTTTGCTAATTAGTAGAGATGTAGTTATCCCAATTTCAACTTGAATTATTGTCTTGAACCATTATCAAAAACATATATATATTAACAATCATGCATTGGCCTTTTTAATATTCTTTTTTCTTAGAATTGAAACATTAAAAAGAGAATAAAATTACCCTCTTCCCTCAAAGAAGGAAATGTTAGAAGCATTGCATCATTTTACTTTGCATCTTCTTTTCCTTTGTTAAGACATTTTGCAGCAAATTTGTACAACCAAATAATTTATGACATATTTTCTTCCTTTCAGATTATTTACACTTGCTTCCACAAAAGATGATTCCTGAAGTCACTGTCAAATTCAGGGAAATCATTCCCATATCTGCACTTACTGGCGAAGGATCTGAGCAGCTGATTACATGCTTAAGAAAAATAATAGATCAAGAAGCTGAAGAAAAGATTGAAAGTTATCAGAGGGAGCAACTCAGTGCATTACATCTCTCAAAAATATAGCAACATTTTCCAATTAAACCAATACATCAATTTTTATAACTCTGCTTCTAACTAAATTCATGCAAAGTTATGGTTGCTTCTCTTTTTAACTATAAATATGTGTATTTTGTTCTTGTAAAATAGTAAAAACATATGTAGATTTTAAAGTTATGTATCTCATGTACTTTGTAGAATAAATTTTAAAACATGTAAATATATAATTTTATATATTGATCCTGGGGCTGTTTTCTTCATGAAAGACTTCAAGAAGAGTACAATATTTTGAGAGAGCACAACAGATTGTACTACAGATACCTAATGCTCCATGAAATATTTTGAGCAGAAATGTTTAAATTACTTATAGCCATTCTAGTGGCAGTTGTAAAAAGTCTTGCACTGGTACATCTTTCAGCATGTGCAGTGTTAGAACCATTTTATACTACACTAGTAAAAGCATACTTGGACTATTGTATCCAGTTTTGGACACTGGGAAGAGTGCAAAGAAGAGTAACAAAGATGATTATGGGGCTGGAAGCTAAAAACTGTACAATGAATGGTTTCAGGAACTGGGAATGTCTAATTTAACAAACAGAAGGACTAGGAGTGAGATAATATCAGTCTTCCAATATCTGAGAGACTGTCACGTAGAACAGGGCTTTTCAACCAGTGGTACGGGTACCACCTGTGGTACATTGGCACCTGGCAGGTGGTACGCGACCATCCCAAAAAAGTGGTAGTGGGGAAGGGGAATGAGCTGAACCGGTGGCAGCACCGCACAAGCCTGAGCAAGAGATGGCTGGAGCTGCAAGGCTGTCAGGGCTCAGTGGAAGCATCAGGATCAGCGCCAGGCTCCAGCTGGAAAGCAGCACTAATCCTGGTGCTTCTGCTGAGCCCAGAAGAAGCGCCGATCAGCTGGAATATTGCAGCATCTCCAGGGTCTTCAGATGCTTGGCAACTGATTCATATTTATGATGGTCACAGTGTCCCAGGGTCATGTGAAGTGACCAAAACCTGCTGCAACCACCCAGCAGACAGGAGGGGGGGAATAAAAACCAAACAACCCCCCATCCCATCCCCGCTGCCAATCCTCAACAGAAATGCTCACAACAATGAAAACCTCGGACAGGAGGAAGAGCACCGCCGGGTGGGCAGGCAGGTGTCTTGCTTGGCTGTGCCTTGGGGGGCACTTTTTTCAGTACCATTGTAACTTCAAACAGTCACTAAGCGAATTGTTGTAAGTCAAGGACTACCTGTACTTTNTTTTTTTTTTTTTTTTGGTCATCAGGTTTTTGACACCTTGCTAGGCGACTGGTGGTACTCGGATATTGCCATATCCTAAAAGTGGTACAATGGGTGAAAAGATTGAAAAGCCCTGACGTAGAACAAGGGGAGTCAACCTATTCTCCAAAGCAAGACAAGAAGTAACAGATCAAAGCTTAACAACAGAGATCCAACTTAGAAATAAGAAATTTCCTGTCAGTGAGAACCTTCAATCAGCGGGGGAGCTTGCCTCCAGAAGTTGTGGGTATTCATCGCTGGAGATTTTTAAGAAGAGATAGGATAACCATTTGTCCAGAATGATACAGGATCTCCTGCTTGAGCAGGGGGTTTGACTAGAAGACCTCAAAGGTCCCTTCCAGCTCTATAATTCTAATGCTATATTATGCAAATCTAGCCAGTTATGGTTTATTCAGCCAAACAGCTTAATATGACATGGCAATTCAGCTAAAGAATACCATTCAGTAGTTCATACATGTAACTACTTTTGCACTTAAATCTAATGAAGAATGAAGGCAAAAAATCTAATATTAGCATGATGTGAAATTATTTGAGGCTCAGAATATAATGTTGGATCCACTGGAGAATTTTAACTACCTGGGAGGATGGTGGACTACAATTTGTTTTGTTCTGTAGATGGAAGCCTTCCATGGATCCCAGAGGAAAGCTGATACACACTACTTAAGAACCTATAGAAACAAATTTTCTAGATGATTCAGTGAAGGTTGTGAGACAATTGACAGCCTCTCATTCTCCTGAATTGTCTGTAGAAATGAAGAACCAGTAATGGAGTTTGTACATTTATCTTGCCATTAGTACTCTTGGAAGTGGCGGGTGGGAGTGGAGACCAAATTGGAGAAAGAGAGAAGCCATCTGGTTAATATATCCTGCTAAACTATAATTTATTGTAAAAATAGTTGATTAAGCCACAATGGGTGTATACATCTCATCATGCCATAATCTGTGGCTCATTAGACATAATGGCTGGTTTTATCTAGCCAGTAGAACTAGCTTCTGAATAAACTTCCATCTAGTTATGCTGTAAATGCTGTGAAAGCAGAGATGAGCAAAATGAGAGTCCAGGGCTTGTAGACTTTTATTCCTTTTTGGCAACCCTTGGCATCCCTTTGATTATAGTTGCTGAAAATCAAGAACACCCATTGCACCATATTCAGATTTGTGTGAGATGAGACTTCCCATTTTACCTTCCTATAAAATGTTAAGTGAACTTTCCCCAGATCTAGGATTTGGCTATGTGTGCTTGCCCTTTTTAAACAAGAACAATTTGCTGTCTTCCTAATCCCAAATCAGCTATTGCTTTAAAACGTGGCTATTGTTGGTTCAAATTAGAGTTGTGAGATCTGACAGCTCAAGATCAATAATGGGTCCACGGATGCATTGGAGGAACTAAACTTTTTTTCCCAAACGATAATTTTATTAATTAACGTTAATTAAAAACGACTTTTCAAAATGCAACTTAAAGCGCCATAAAGACTGCAATTTCTGTATATTTTATAATTAAACATCGATTTTAATATTTTTAGAGTAAAAATCCATCCGTAGAATTCACATGGGTTTGTTAAAAAAAAAAAAAACCGCAGTAAACTAGTCATAACTACTAAAAATCTCGAAGGCGATAACTCATTTCACCCAAACTCCTTTTTGCAAAAAAAAAAAACCAACCAAACCAAAAAAACCCTGATCCGGTCCTCAAAGGACAACCTCAATTACAACCGGGAAAGAGGCTTCAATAATAGCTATTGAAAGAGGATCTTGGGAATTGTAGTCTTTCGAAGCACGTGGAAACTTAAGAGAACTGTAGAGAGAGACTACAGTCCCAGGAAGCTTTGGGCAGACCTGGAAAAGGCAGCCACTTCCTGAAAATCCGGGAGATCGAAGATGGATTCGGTGTTTGTAATTGTGCGCATCGTGCGTGGGAAGCAGGTTAGAAAGGGGAGATTTGCTCTATCTGTCTGTCAACAAAGATACCAATTTTCATTATACAGTAATTAGCTTTCTTTCCTACGGTCCAGACCGCTAGGGCTGTGTTATATTTATATGGGTTAGGGATTGTATAATGATGATTACGATTATTTGTTATCCTCAGTGCAACTGTTGTCCGTTTATTCAAGAGTGAGTCTCATTGTCACAGGCTTATCAGCCAAGGCAAAATAGATATGTTCCTGAAGCACAAGATCCAGCATTTCAAACCAGCATGGCCTATGAGAGGCGGATGGGAATTGTAGTTCAGCAACATCTGGAGGGGATCCTGATGCCTGCCTAGTAGAACCTGTTGTCCAAATATTCTGATACTTGGAAGGAAATACTTTTTTTAAAAAAATATACTTCTTTAAAATTAGGAGCCATCCTATGGAAAAGTTTGGTGGAATACATTAGAAAAAGTATATACCATAGTTATCGTTTTGTAAGATTTGGTGCCACACGTTTTCATGGGATCTGATTTAAATGGGCTTAAAATTGAAATTGGATAAATTTGTGAAAGGCAACACCCCTATTTTTAAAAAGTCTTTACAGATTTTCTGGTTGGCTGCTTTGAGACACAGGATGAATCAAGTTGGCTGGTAGAACTCTAATTATATTGTCTGTTAATTGTTATGTTTCAAATAGGTATTTATATGTTGTCCTGAATCATAATTTAACTCATCTCCTGTAGCTTACTGTAGGTTACTTTCATCACTTTAGCCATAAACAGTAATGCAAACAAAATACAATACTTTGTATTGTTTTTATTTAGTTGTTTTTTAGTGGTTCAGTTTGATAATATGATTTTTAATTTTTCTTGATTACAGTAATTGGAACTGAAGAAAGTTACAGTGTACAAGTAAGTGTCTTACCATATTGCAACATGTTTTCCTGGCTTTGTTAATTATATACTGTATAGAACTGATATGGTGGGGGCTGAATGAGGTGTGCATGACCTGTGTCATATTTATTTTAGTTCCATACTCTGATTTGAGATATATTATATTGAAAACATTGTGCATATTTTTATGCTCTTCAAATGATTCTGAATACTTAGAATTATGAACTGTTGATTTTTTTTTTGGCAGATGACCAGTTTAAGGATAATGGTATATACATAAAGCTATAGAAAAGTTTAATGAATATATTTGATTCTCAATATGTTAAGATTCACGTTTTCTGTGTTAAAAAGAGTGACAACTGCTTTTTACTATATTTAGGGACTGGGTCTTCAGTGGCATTATGCAATGCTTTACGTATTTGGCATTGAATTCTCGGTATCGACATATATATCCACAATATCTACAATATAGTTATGTGTATACACACAACTGGAAGCTAAGAGAAATCATGCCTCACTCAGGCACTTGAATGAGGGATTTGCTGCCTGCAAATGATAAAACTCATTTTTGAATGTGCCTTCAACATAATGTTGAGGAGCAAAAAATATAGTGTTCACATAAAATATTGCCCTTGAGAAAATAATACTGTCTTGGAGAAAGATAATGAAGGATATGTCAGTGCTACTTAATCTTATAGATTTAGCATCTATAGTAATATATATTTTGCCTGCATGCACAAATTGGTTTGAAATATTATGTTTTCTTTATATAAGGAGTTGGTAATTGTCAGTTTCATTCATTTTAGCACTTGCAGGATAAATTGAAGAACATAGCATGTATCTTAGCTTCAGTTTGTATTCTGGTATATCAAAATATGAGTGAAATAGTTGAGAGGAAAGTGTTTTCAAGTCTTCTAATCCAAAATTAGGTTACACAATTGATCAGCTTATGATGATTGTTAAAAATGACAATGGACAGCTCTCCTTCAGTGTAATATTTAAGTTATGTCTAGTTTAAGTGCACAAGTCCAGTACAACTATGCATCTGTGTAGAACAATATTGTAAATTGAAATAGAATGTTAAAAATAGTAAAAGGGCAGGCATTTCAAATAGAAGTTTGCTAATGCCAACAGGTTAATGAAAAGAAGAACTTAAGAAACAATAATGTCTGAAATTAGATATTTTTTTGTTGTATGGATACTTTTTACAATAGAATTGAAGTATTTTATAGTTGCTATGGTTATCTACATTCTTTTGCATTCATGCAGAATAAGGATCCCAAGGAGAGTTTAGGCATCATGCTAAGCTTCTGTGTTTTTGTATGTTTAACAGTCATGCAAATGGAAGCAGCAAAATGTGAGTGAATGGGCTAAATATGCTAATATTCAGCTTTGTTGTTGTTGTTAGTTGCGAAGTCATGTCCGACCCATCGCGACTCCATGGACAATGTTCCTCCAGGCCTTCCTGTCCTCTACCATCTTCTGGAGTTCATTTAAGCTCACTCCTACTGCTTCAGTGACTCCATCCAGCCACCTCATTCTCTGTCGTCCCCTTCTTCTATTGCCCTCAATCTTTCCCAGCATTAGGCTCTTCTCCAGTGAGTCCTTCCTTCTCATTAGGTGGCCCAAATACTTGAGTTTCAACTTCAGGATCTGGCCTTCTAAAGAGCAATCGGGGTTGATCTCTTCTAGGACTGACCGGTTTGAACGCCTTGCAGTCCAAGGGACTCGCAGGAGTCTTCTCCAGCACCATATTTCAAAGGTCTCAATTCTTTGGTCCCCAGCCTTTCTTATGGTCCAACTTTCACATCCATACATTGCAACTGGGAAAACTATGGCCTTGACTATATGCACTTTTGTTGGCAGGGTGATGTCTCTGCTTTTTAGTATGCTGTCTAAATTTGCCATAGCTTTCCTCCCCAGGAGCAAGCGTCTTTTAATTTCTTGGCTGCAATAATCCCCATGATAAATTGAATTTCAATGAAATCCTGTCTTATAAATCTATGCAAACATGGCCACTGACTCAAAATATAGTTATATTTGCTCTAAAAACATTGGTATACATATGTGAGTTCTTCTATTAATCTGAATTTAATTACACCTTTAGGTTAAATTCCATTCTCAGGCTGAAGAATAGTACTTATCTTGGCTCATATTTGAATAATAATATTATGGCTAGGTTTAGACCAATGCAAATTAGTTTTAATTAAAAAGTCAGATAGCAAATTCTATACCTACTTGTCCTATACCTAAAATTACAAATAGAAAAGTATTCAGTAATTGAGTCTCTGTTTTTATAGTTGTTTTGGTTAACAACATTCTTTTGCATTCTTGCAGAAACAAGGATTCCAAGGTAAGTTTGGGCATCATGCTAAGCTTCTGTGTTTTTGTATGTTTAACAGTCAAGCAAATTGGAGCATTTTTTAATAATTATTTTACTGTAAGCTATCTTACAGTACATGCATTTGCCATGAAATGTGTGGCTTACATGCATTTGCCATTAAATGTGTGGCTGAATATAGATCAGGAAGTAGAAATTGTTATTTAATATGCTCAGTCACTTGACAATCAATTTAATTCACTTGGGCTTATTTTCAAGTAAATAAATAAGGGCTTTTGGCTGTAAGAAACTGTGTTAAATAATTATATTGACTATTTACATTAAATACTATTTTGTGATTAAATTTACTGTATTACAGGTAGTCATTGACTTATAGCTGGTTGCTTGGCGACTGTTTGAATTTACGACAGACCATCCAAAGGTACTGAGTCTGCTACAAACTTACAGCCAGTTCAGTGCCTGTGCCATTATTCACCCTTACGACTAACCACAGGAAAGAGCAGTGCTCCTCCCCCCCAGCTATTTCCCTCAACTATCCGGTTGGGTCCCCGCAAGCCTCAGCTTACACTAAAGATGGCCTCTCAGCTCTGCTCTGTTTGTGGAGCCTCCTTAAAACATAGAACCCCCAACAGTCTCTTGAGAAATACTGCTTGCTTGCAGAATAGCACGAAATTGCCATGAGGCTTGCAGCTTTGGAAGAAAGCTGAGCCTTGCATTGTATCATTTTGGCTCCTCTGCAAAAATCAGAAAAGGTAAATTGGGTGCTGCTGGGCTTGGAGTAGGTCAAGACTCGCAAATCCCTGGGAGGCTGAATGGGAAGTAGGCTGAGGCCTAAAAGATTTAACAGCCTCCTGCTCTGGTGGCTTATATTGCCCAGTTTTAGGCTGTCTTAAGTGGCCTGGCTGGAAGTCCCTTGGATTTCTGGATGGGAAGTATGCCTTGCTCTTGCTCTTAACTGCTCTTTTCTGTACCAATGGTTCCTTTAGACTCCCTTCTGTGGCTGAATGGCCAGTTTCTGAGCAGGCTAAGGCCTGGGGAAATCCTGAAGGACAGGGAGTGAAGAACCAGATGCTTCAGGGATGGGGGAGGCCTGGAGCAGGAAGACCTGGGCCTGTGCAAGGCCTTCAAGTCCTTCCCACACCACTGGGGCACCCAGCTCCAGGGTATTTGTTTAATAACCAGGGTATTTGTTTAACAATTCATTGGGGAGAGTAAGAATGGGAGATCATTAAGTTAAATCTCCCATCATGAGTTAGTCATCGTGAGCTGCAGCTGTAAATGGGCAAGTTCCATTATGGTCATAAGTTCAGGATTACCAATGCTATTAGGTGATACACTAATAATACTGAATCATTTACAGTAAGGAATCTGATGCACTGAAATGATCTTCATACAGTTAACTTGGTGCTCTTTCCCAACTTTTCCAGGACACTTTTTTACTGATTGCAATGGGCTGCCGGGATGTTCATGCTGCAACGGTCCTAGCCTTCCTCTCTGGAACAGCTGCTTTATCAGGACTCATTGCTGCTGCACTGCTTCCAAACTGGAGACAAATGCGACTCTACACCTTTAACAAAAATGAAAAGAATGTGACCGTTTACATTGGGCTGTGGATTAAGTGTGATCGCTTTGATGGGAGCAAAGACTGTATCATTTATGATACTGAGTGGTACACAGCAGTTGATCAGCTAGATTTGCGTGTCCTCCAGTTAGCTCTTCCCATTAGCATGTTGACCACAGTCTTGGCCCTCTTTCTCTGTTTAATTGGCATGTGTAACACAGCTTTTGTATCCACTGTGCCTAACATCAAGCAGGTCAGATGCCTCATCAATAGTGCAGGCTGCCATCTTGTGGCCGGCCTTTTCTTTCTTCTTGCATGTGTCATTTGCCTGATACCATCAGTTTGGGTCATCTTTCATAATAGAGAGCTGAATCAAAAATATGAGCCTGTTTTCACCTTTGACATTTCGGTTTACATTGCTATTGCCAGTGCAGGTGGCTTATTATTTACAGCTATTCTCTTATGCCTGTGGTATTGTGCATGCAAGACGTTACCTTCCCCTTTCTGGCAGCCTCTATATTCGCATACCCCTAGTGTGCATAGCTATGCTTCCCAACCATATTCTGCACGATCACGGCACTCTGCCATTGAAATTGACATCCCTGTGGTTACACGTACTTCTTAAAAGAATGGGTCAAGAAAGCCAAACATTCCTTTGCGTGTTCTCCCTTTATGCTATCATTTACAGGTTAAGTGCTTTCCCACAGCTTGGCAACTTCTGCAACTATAGCAAGGGTTTGTAGTTTGGTGACTTTTACTTTCATTATCTAGATCAGGGGTAGGCAACCTTGGCTCTTTTATGACTCGTGGACGTCAACTTCCAGAATTCCTGAGCCAGCATGTCATAAAAGAGCCAAGGTTGCCTACCCCTGATCTAGATTGATAAGAAACAGTAATGAGCCGACTGAAATACTAGTCTTAGTTGTAACTGCAAATTTTTAAGGGTATCTGAAACCAGCAGTTTTTATAAGTTTATAAATAACAAATGTTAGTATCATTTTACTTTTGCAGAACTCAAGTTTCTTCCATAAAATATAGTATGAAAAATGCTAT